GGAAGATCGGTTTAATCGTGTTGGAGTGTGGGGTATGCTCCGAGCAGCTTCCTCGCGTAGGATGCGAGTGATACAGCATAGTTGTCTGTACATAAACAATTTCCAGTTCTTGCTATTCCCTAGTTACGTTACCGTCACTTCCCCGGCATTTGGTTTATCGCGGACTAGATAGTCCTTCCTTGGATCGCGAAAAGCTCTTTATGGGTGGCTAATATGCGGTGTTTTCACGCGGCTCGTCAAATATTCAGAAATTTGTCTTGTTCATGTCAACTAATCGTCCGCGACTTCTCCGGCTGGTGAACACAGCCTTCATGCCGCGGCTTGGTCTGTTCGCGCCCTCGAAGCCGCTGTGGTTCCGCTATAATCAAATACGAACAGAGCGGAAGGGGGATGACCCGCTAAGGAAGGCTCATCACACATTACACTGTGGCAATTGTCACCGGAAGGTAGGAAAAATAGCTGAAAATCTTTGGTGTGATGATGACAGGCTATTGACTCTTCGATGTTGTGAAACTTGCAAAGTGTGGAATCGCAGCCTAGAGACTTCGTGTGGAACTAAGTAGTCTGGAGTGCATCTGTTGCAGTATTGGAATATATGCACGTGGTCAACTTTGGTTAGTGTTGGTAGCAGCACGGAATCTCTCGAGGAAATTATCGTCGGTTTCTGTATACTACTCAGAATCATGTGTGGGTTTTCATGATGTAGTGAGGCAACTCGAAAGCTCAATTGAGGAAACCAAACATATATTCCTACACTGATCCGATGTAGAGGTTTCTGGGTGGACAGCTGTTGTAGAATCGGTTGCGGTTGCTGTAGTTCACAATGAAAGAAGTGATGCAGCTGTTCATCAGCAAGCACATGCCGGGCGAGGCAACTTGGGTGGTAAGTAGGTGATACAGCGAATGTGTTTTCTCATGAGAAATGACGTACTTTACTCAGACTTTGGAGACTTTGACAGAGTTTGGCACCGGGCACAAGCAGCAGAAAGGAATCCTGAATCGGAACTACCTCGGTCCACACGCTGCCAGAATAGCTCAGGTCGGCTGGGCTTACTAATGCTATTCATCGATGGACACTGTCACTCCTGTAGGTGGCCAACGGCGGGATGATCTGTTGTCCGTATTGTTTGAGAGTAGAGTGGAGACCAGGACGCGCCTAGCACAAACTACTCGTCTGAAACATGATTACTGTGTGTTTCTGGAACTCGTGATTGGTA